TGGACTGCATCTACAGCATGAAGAGGAAATTGGAGAAAGAGGAGATAAAGCAGAAGATATCAGTGGAGTACCGTCAAAATACACTTGCAAAGTGTGAGGAGATGATTAGGTGGACCAACACCGAGAAACAGGCTACAAAGGAGGACTACGAAAAAATGCGCAATCAGTTTGAGAGCGCGTGCAGCTTATAATGGCAATGGAGGAACCCGGTTCGTGACCATGAGGATAAGATGAGTGAAATGGAGAGATTGGCACATTAAATCACCTCCTTTTAGTCGACTCTGTCATACTCGACTTTACAAAATTCTTGATGTACTTATTTAACCCTCACCGCAACCTCTTGTTCATTGTAACTCGCTTTGTCTTTTGGCATCAGCGTACACCGGTGCTCACTAAGGCATTCGTCCACCCACTTTGACTTTCATTTACTCACCCACATCCACCTCACCAAACTGCCTCGTTCATTTATGCATTAGTTGGTAGCAATCACTTTACTCCATATTTTTCGTGTGGGCGCCACAGTCAGTTAAGCAAGGGGTCTGGTCATAAGCTTATAGTGTGGGTTACTCCATTTGAAGGTGCCTTCTTAGTACATACGAGTGATCGCTCTAAAATACGCGTGATTATGGCTAGACAGGCTGGCGGTTCTGAATGCAAGGAATCAAATCGGTGCTACGATTTACCGTTTCTCCATTGCACGGTAGAATGGCGAAGGGTTAACCAACGAGGTGGTGAGGTCTCCCACACACATCGCTCGTCATCATTAATGTTGGCAATGGGTTTCACGTTGTCCGCAAGAAGGTGCACCAAGTAGAGGTTCATGCTATGCCTACCAATCATAGTGACAAATCTCAATGCCAGCCAAAATCACAGCTGTGTAGAATTGGCACTTACGCTTAAGTTTGATGGGTTAGGGTTTCCAGCCTCTCCTCAATGACTTGCGACTGCGTACTCAAAAGTGATGACGCGCTATGCAGGCTCCGCCTTGAACACACCTTTAGTTGAGCGCTGACTGGAGCAGTGGTGTTGGCTCCGTGTTGTGGTGTAGGTGACAGAAATGCAGCAGTGTAGAATTGCCAACATATGGACTCATGACTGGTGATACCTTCATGTCTTTAATGCCCATGTAATGAGTTAGAAATTTGTATTCCGAATGCTATAACCCTTTTTGGGTGTCCTACTGTCCCCAGCACAAATGGAGAAGTACAAATCCAGATTTGAATGGTTGGTGTACTGCATCATTTGGAGTCGGAAAGCAAGCTGCAATCTTACACAGCCCTTTGGGATCATTTATTGGTTCTCATCTCATTTAAATGTTTGTATTCGTGAGAGGGGAGTTAACAATTTGTGCATTTGAACGTTTTGCCTGTCTTTCCTCCCATGCGATGCGTCCTTGTGAAGGCACTCCTCCGCCATGGTCACAGCCCAAATTCTCTTTTTCCTTCCTTCTCCGTTTAAATTTTCTTTCTCCTCCACCTTCTCCCTCGCACCTTCTATCCCTTAAGGAGATAGTCAAGAAATGTACACGTAATAACAGACACTAAACTTTAGCTCGAACAGTTGGTCACTTGAATAGATAAGTGAAAGGCGACAGAAGAAAATGGAAAATGTTGTATTTGACGGTTGCTCTTGATAGAAAGTAGCCATTAATTAGGGGATGAGGATTGCCATTGAAATGCAGCCTTAACAATTGGTGCCGCTATTGTGCCTACGTGCAAACTGCATTGCTCATCATTCACTTCGACTACTTGACACCACGCCTTATGTGACTGGCAGAGCTGAGAGCACAAGAACAAGCCCCATAGTGAAACAGGCGAAGACAACCAAGCAAATGAGACTTGGAGGAATGTGGTGATAGAATGTGTTCCCACAACAGAATTGTTGCACTTTGCTTTTTAGGGCGCCCCTTGCCACATCCAAATCGAGTGGAGCTACCTAAGGACAGATGCAAGGTGGGTGTGGTTACCCGAGGAGTCGCGTGTTGATTGGCTGGACCGAGCCACGCATTTGAAGTACTTGCGTCAGCAGTCATCGCATCCAAATGTCAATTCCTTTTTTTTGGGAGACAAAGTGGAGTACACAGGAGGCAACACCTAAAATTCAAAGACATTGCAATATTTCTGCTGCAGTAAATGCAACGGAAATTGGAGACTTGAAGTCACAATTGGAATTGGATTGATAAACACGTTGATGGAGAGATAACACCGATACTGCTGGCAGTTTTAGCAATAAAATATTTCGGCTTAACTGAAGAAGTTAGGAGAGAAATTTAAATGGAATTTACTTTTGCATGTGACAATGTGGTATGGCTGACTGCCTAGTTGCGAAATAAATGCCTCAATTTGTGGTGCCAGGAATGAATTTAAGGGTCAACTTTTAGTAAAATCAATCAATTTGCATTGCCGTTTGTTGTTAAGGTGGATAAATAAGGTGTAATTTTAAATTGCACACGGTCAGAAGCTCTAAATGCTTGGCATGTTTGAAGTTGGGAGAGGAAATGCTGAGGCCAATAGGCGGTGACTGGAGAGTACCCTCAGAAAACATTATAAAGTGCCCATGAAGGAAGAAGATCTAATGAGAGCTGCATACGACTCTGTTGGTAATTCAGCAGTGGAGTTCAGCTGAATCGAAAGTTACTGAGATCGAAGATGCTGAGTATTTAAGGATATCACCAGGGTAGTCCAGCACCGCTGTATTTTAGCCAATTCTCGGCTACAATTTGCAGAGCAGGGGAAAATTTTTCAGTACCTTTAATTTTATTTATTTGATCAACTATTCGTCCTTTTGGCAGGACAAACGTACATAGCGTTGTTGTTTTTGCTGTCCCATATTTGGAGAAAGCAAATAACACGTTCGATCTGATGCGTAAGAGTAGCGATGGAAAGACTCCAAGCAGTAATCAACTAACCGTATCAAAAGAAGTAGAACCATCATTCAACATTATTTCATGTACTTCTTATGCATACACACCTCCAAAAAACAAAATAAAGGGGTGTCCCAAACCAGGGTTCTATCCACCTGGCCTAATTCAGACGCAATTAGTTTCGTCTGACGGCCCCACATAATAATACAACAGTTGTGCGATCCTTGTGGACTAGCCATTTGCGCCCGTTTATGGAATCTTAGAGCGGCTATTTATGCATCCACATCGAGTGTACCGCACCTGACCTCATGTAAGAAGTGACTCCCACCTTGTTGCAGTGATTGTACTGAGGTGAATCTCACTCCGTGACGTTTCCCTCGATGATGTGTCAGCCTTCAACTTTGCCCCCAGTACATAGAAGGGACTACCTGAATTTCACAAACTGTGGCAATAGCTTTGTTCCTGTAAAGGAAGCAGAAATTATGGCAGCAAACGAGCAATTGGACTTGAGATAGTGAGAATGGAAATGGAAAAAGTTAAATGGACAGGTTTGCACAAAACACGGGCTTACAATACTCGGAGATTTAATAGCTTTGATGTGGTCGTTTCGACCTGGTAAATTGTTAGTTGTTTTAGCCCTTGCTGGCTACACACACAAGCATTCATTAAAACCTCCATGCACCAGCTTCGCTGTTCATTCACTCATCCACATTCTCCGCAACGCACTCCTCTATTCAAGTATTCATGACTACAAAGATTCACGAGGGCACTCCAGCAATCGCTTTACTTCATGCTTTGCCAAATGAGCACCTCAGGTTGTTCAACATTGTGTCATGTCGCAAATTCTGGTGTGAGTCGCACCGTCTGAAACTGCCTTCTTAGTACTAACAAGCGATTGTCTTAAATACATGTGGTTTCACCTGTTCAGGCTGACACCTTAATGGTTTCTCATCATATGGACAAATGGCAAATGGGTCACTAACTTGGGTGCCCACCCTCACTGCCCGTCATCATTAATGCTAAAGGTAGGTTACGGGATGTCCGCATCAAGTGGACAAAGTAGAATTCCACAACATGCTGACCGAACGTGGAATGAGGAGTAAAACCTTTCTCTGGCTCCATGAGGAGCGGGTGTTTAAAGGCTTTAATGAATGCCTGTTTGCGCAGCCACCTAAGCGCAGAAAGCCTATCAATTCGCCATGGGTCAGGTC